GAGGTTCCTTTCGTTTTTCAGAGAAATGGCGACGAACATTGGTATGATGGATAGTGCTTACTTTGTTGGAAGAAACGAGATTCTGGGTTGGATCAATGACCGTCTCCATCTCAATCTCTCTCGTATCGAAGAGGTTCGTATCAAAATCGAATCTTTGTAATGTTGCATGTTTGGTTTCCCATTGGAGTGTGCATTGTCAATGAATTGATTAAGAAAGGACGTGCCTTTTGCTTTTTTTTTGTTTAAGGGGTTTTTGTTTATTGGTAATGTCGGTGGTTTAAGAGGATTGATTTGTGAGGAATGTTGTGTTGATTTGGTGCAATTTGGGGGAATAGGGTTTAGAACTCGGACTGATTTAAGATTTGTCTCTTAATTTGACAGATTTGTCGGTGATGTTGCTTTCACTCAAATTCTTAAAAAGAGTTTTTTTTTCTTTTTCTTTCTGATCTATACAACTAGTGGGGTTGGGGAATCATGGGTTTGATAGTGTATAGGAACACATTTTTATTATCTTAATCATTTTGTTTTCAAGAAAGTATCTGAACATGGTTTTGGTTCACCCTTTGAGTTTTGTCTGTATAGTTTAGTTGTGTTGTTGTGTTAAGATGCGATTACAATGTCTCTGATGGTCTTTCTGTATGTATCTCTGATGATTAATGCTTTTAGCTATTGGAATCAACTCATATGTTTGTTCTTGAAGATTAGTTTGATATTGGGAAGGCTTCAAGGTTTCATTAAGTTGGTCTTGAAAAGTGTTGGAGCGGTTTCTGACTTGACTGATTTCAGTTTATACTCTTGCAAGTAGACATTGAAACTACTCTGATTCGTTTTGCTTGTGAGACTGTTTTATCTAAGTGGCTTATGGTTGGTTTCTGGTAGGCTGCATCAGGGGCTGTGCAATGTCAAATGTTGGACATGACCTTTCCAGGAGTTGTACCAATGCACAAGGTGATTTTCATTTTTCACATTTTATCGGCATCTCTTGCAATAGTTTCTTCGCAGAGCAATCT